CGAGACTTCGTACTGCACTTGGGAATGGGGTGAAAGGGATGATGAGGAGGAGGTATTGCGTCATCCTCGTATTATGCTTCTCTCAAGTTATTTTTTCAAGCTTTAGATTAACGTCAGCTTTTTGACCCTTGACAAGTGCAAGGCAGATGGATTAGATTACCAGCAACTGAGTAATGATTGATGACGGATTATTTAACTTCACGTGCGCGATGTGGTATATATTATCAAGTCATTGTGAAACAGTGGCGGCCTTGAAAAGGGCGCTTGATACGATGCCAATCGGGTCAGCTAACTACTAACTAATCCAGTGGAAAGGCAAAACTACTTCAAAAGGGAGGGGGGAGGGTGAATAATCAACGTGTACAAACATGGAATGGGAACTTGTCGGACGCTGGAGTTAGAGGTAGCACTAGTATGGTCACCCATTTCACCTACTTTCCTCTATTTACGAGTCTGAACAAGTGATGCGGTGTGAGTGCGCATCGTGTAAGATCAAACATAAAGCACGCTATCCGTTGTCTCAGCAACCATGAGAAACGAGGAAGTTGGAAAACAGGTACATGACGGCATTTTCACCCCCTTTTGTGGTGCGCAGGCCGTCAAACTCGACCATTAGTAGACGGCGCAATTTGACTAGGCTAACCGCCTTTTAATTTTCACGATCCGACCTTCATGAACAGTCAGTTGCTCACCTCCGCAAACGAATACGAACTATGCGCAATCCACCGTAATATAGGATGAAGACGAATAAAAAAGGTCCTTACGGCCTCTTTAACCATTACTTTGTCGAGCCAGTTGCACAATTTTCGTGGAATAATACCATCTTACCACACTTCCCCACATTTCATGCAAAAAAACGATATTGAGAAGAGACTAGCTCTAAAGAGTAGACGTTATTCTAGCGTTTGCTTATCACAGAAAGGTTAATTAATCAGTCTCATAAAGTTGAAATGTACCCACTTCTAACAAAACTAATTTTAACTCACTCACATTTCTGGGCTAAATCCATCAGTCCCGATGGGATTTCCAAACCTATTGACCAGTCAAACATTGGTTTCAAAAATATTGCAAGCTACACGCATTGTCAGCTCTAAAAATTGCTCTAATGAAGGCTCCGGAAAGGGAAGATAACTGGAAATCAAAGAGGCCAAGACGAACTCACTCCACAGGAAACAGAACAAAGCGGAGATAAGTCCTTCCTCCCCGGAGTAGAGCTGCAAAAGACTGGTGGCGGCGGTGGATCAATGTCGGAGGTGACAGACAATTCCTGAACCAAAGAAGGACGCTTTGACTGCAGTGGTGGCAGCAAGCCCGTGGGAGACTCCTTTAACAACAAGGGAGCCACAGACAGTTGCGATGAGGCTGAGAGGACCGCTGCCGTGGTTGAAGCAACTCGACCATTTCCATCAACACGAGTGTCTGAATAGAAAGCGATCGAAACAAAGCATTAGGGATTTCTTGTTCCTATTTACCAGAGGTCTATTTCGTACAGACAATACTACCTATTTTATCATTACGGAAACAGATCTCAGATGGATTTTAAATAATCCAATGTGGAAAATCGCCCAGTGAGGATGGTGTACTCCTGCCATCAGTAGGCATAGAAAATGACTTACCTCCAAAAGCATGATGCGCGGGGCTCGTAACTCACAAACCCGATTGAAACGTATTGAAACTCGTTAAACCGACTTTTGCAGACACATAACACCACCACTCCGTTTAAATTCTGCTTCTACTTGCGAAAAAAATTACATAACACGTCTTCCCATAATAGTACAGCTCAAAAGCACAACTTCTGCTTTTCAGCTAGGGAGGGCGATGACTTCAAATGTCCACAATTTTTTTCTCGAAATAGAACGTAGATTCTACGCCCACTTCTTAATGAAGTGGAGTGGAGCGACTTCCGGCAGAATGATACATCCAGCATCCTCACAATCGATTAAGGCTTTGGTGAGTGAGCAAATTGAACACTTGGGTCTCTTCAGTCACCGAGGCAAAAAGGACGAGCCAATAATTACTCGACCGTTAACCCGATTGGTCATTTACTCCTGCGATAATGACTAAAGACACTTTTTCTTAGTAAACAACAACACAACACAACCATTTCTAATGTTCATGCAATTACCAACATTAAAGGGGTAGAAGCAAATGCAACTCGTAGTTGTATAGTTGATGACGTAACCAAAAATAACTCAAAAAATGGTAACGTCCAGTATGTCACCTACGCGTAGCGTCTTTGCCCACTAGCTAGTCTTTTCACGTAATCAAAAAAAAGAATGAATTCAGTATAAAATAAAGCTATATACACAAATACGCACTCACCCAAGAGAAGAAATAATTAGTGGGTTCAAGAGATGTGGATTAGTGTTCAATAATATATGAAAGAAGAAATTAAAACTGACGGAAAATTCATTTTATGACTAAAAAAATTAATATATGCTGGAGAACAGCTTACGAATGATCGGGCAAGGATGACGTTCACAAGGTGCTGGGGTTGTATTGCTTTGATTGTTCGCTTCACTCTACATTTGATTACGCGGGCATGCAAGTCTCCGAAGATTATACTTCCGCCCGGCGCCATGGCCTCCAGGCCACGGTAGTAGCCTTAGCTTCTCTCTACGTCAGTAATATAGTTTCTGCCACAAGTGCTATGTCTTCTTACGATTTCAGAAATACTCGGAGCGCTGCAATGGTGGATACCAAACCTTAACGTGACAGAAGGAGGGCATCTGCCGAGGATAATAGAATCTATTAAGATCCCTAACAGAAGGGTTGAAAATGATCCCTACCTCCACAATAACCACAGCCACGTGGTCTGCAGGAAGGCTGTTGAAAATTTAGGCGATACTGGCCGTGAACTGTCTGGAATAGTTCGGTACTGAGCTGTCTACGATACCCTTGTAAAGATGTCAACTAGGTGGATACGCGATACCTCCCTCTACCTTCCTACTAGTTGAATAGTACCTAGGTAGATAGAGGCCTGGCAACACAGAGGTGAGGACGAAGTGAGGAGGTATGGCCGCAAAACCTTATCACCACGACTCTATTTTAATGCTGCCTATTGATAGAGTTACCCGGCTCCTTGGCTAATGTTCCTTCGATCAGTAATGGTTACACGAGATGGCCTCGCTGTAGAGCATCTTTCAATCTCCAGAAGTATGAAGAAAGCGCATTCCCCCTTCCGTAATGCAGGTCCTGAACTGGACGAAGCTCCAGGTGCAATGGAATGGCAAAGAGAAACCAGTGACGTTGCAGTTAGATAGCATCTCAGTTGCACTGGCACGGTTGGTTCGCAATGTTCGAAGCGAGAGGTAGATCAACTGGAGGGTCGAAAGCGACGCTCAAAAGGGAAGAGAACCTATGTAATGCTTTGGTGGTTTGTTTAAGTGTTTTGAATACGAGGCATTCAAGTCTCCACACATTGTACCTCCGCTAGGGGACCAAACCGGTAATCGCTCAGCTCTTCTGTGCGTCAGTAACAAGCCTTCCGCCATGTCCGTATGACTTCTTACGACTTCAGGAAAGACATGAAGATAGCGGACGTAATCACTAACTGTTGATCAGTAACAAATAAGTAATATTTATTATTATCAGTAGTAGTTATTTAATTTCATCAAGTTACTTTTCTTTTAAATCAGGTGATAAACATTTAATATGACATTTGACGCCGTGCTTGATTGGACACAACTGCTGAGACACATAAAAATAGCTGATTTACTTTGTTTTTTAACCTGTGAGAGCAGAGGTAGGGCTGGGTCAAATGTTTACAATTTGTCAAAATTTACCGTAAATACATCAAAGCAGTAATATTTATGTGAGGGTAGGAGGTGTGAAGAGACACTGTAAAAAAAAAGTCCAGGACATTTCGATCTGCAAAGTAAATCCACCTTGAAAATAACTGCCCGTCACTTAGGCAAACCCAAGACTAGTGAGCCATTCGAGAACGAATTTGAGCGCCCCGACTCCTGCGGAAGAGCATGCGGGACAGAAGTGCCCACGCAGTTGAAGAGAGCAGTGAGTCACTACAGAGTGTTGTCAAGAGCTTCCACACATCATTCAAAAGGAAAAACACCAACTATCTCGGAGTTTTGGACTTAAGAGGTCGTCAACTTAACCAACATCCAACTGGCACACATTTCAAAGCCGATAACGAGACCAAGATGAAGTGAAAAATCTCCCTCGCTTTTTTTCGCCCAACTATGTAAGCCGGGCATTCAAGAAGAGGGGATCCACGATGTAATCACTAGCTAGGGCTGCTCCAAATTGGACTACTTAAGCAGTGACATGAACCAATGCGGACTGAACCGAGAACCCGCGATGACTATTCCGACCCTGATAGAGTGAGCTGAATCACTTTCACCAATGCGGTTTATTCCGGTCGTCCTGGCAGCGATGGAAAGATTATGGTCTGTCGATGAATCGAACACCCAGAAGCATACAAAGTAAAAAATTGAACGCGCGACTTACTTCCGCAACAGCCAGCTTCCGAGGGGACAATCGCAGCTCGACGAGCAGTTGCCACCGGGGACGATGTCACAGCGGCCGAGGAAGTGGATGAAGTTGGTATTGGTGGTGGTGGCAGGAAAGGAGGTGGAGCAGCAGCATTAGTAGTCGTGGCGGAGGGCTGTTGAGGGTTGGAGAAGAACTTGGAGAGAATCTCCGGACCTAGATGCCGCGTGACAATAGCACGCACACGTTGCGCTACCATATCAGGCTCGGCTGAGACGGCTTCTTTTATCTCCCTTATTGCCTCGGGTAAAAGCAGACTCAGAAAGATGGAGATTCTGTGATAAAACATTAAAACAAAAAAAAGACAGTAGGGGACGTGTAACTTCAAACTGTCGCCAGTTGAAATGCTTCACTGTCAAGAGGATGCAAAAGAACTCAGGCGTTATGCAAGCAATATCAAGTCGACTCAACCGCTTCCTACGCCTAGGCTAGTCTGTTTACTCGGTAAATTTAATGAATAATAAGATGGAACAAAATCAGTTCGCAACAGAGAGGGAAATCGACCATCGCAATTTAGATGGTCAACTATTCAACGACGACACCGAACCCTGTGCTATCAAAACAACAACCGTCCAAATTACTGCTTCAAAACAAAGGGGTGTAATAAATTCCAGGGCAAGAGTACCCTACATCTAGAAATCTATTTGTAGCAGAGTATGGTGTAATTCGTTATCAAAACTTGACAAAGAACTCATGTTAAGTCAAAATTGGAGCCTGAGCGCTGCTTCACCACTCACCGATCGTGTTGCGATGTGGCCTTGTTCACTTCAGGAGGCCGAGTCGGGGAGGGCGATTCGGGGGTCTCGGAGGTGCTTGTGGGACCTCTGAATCGCTGTTGAAAGTCCTTCGTGGTTATGGTGCCTTCCTTTTGACTTGACGCTGGCAATGCGGTCGCAGGTGCACGAACTACAGTTGATGTAACTTCTGCACAATGGACAGAAGACACAGGCTTAGGAGGAAATAGCAAAGAGATGTGTGTGTAAATATATACACATCCTACTTCAGCGTTGAGATAACACCGTTAGCAGTTCAGCTGAGCCACAACATTGCATTCAGCGGTGTCACGGAAAGATTCGGTAGGATAGGTTGGCTATGCATAGGGCTCGCATTGCAAGAACCGAATCGAGTATTTGTTTCAATTAGGAAGGGATTAAAAGTCCTAATTTGGCCTAAACGCCCCTCAAACATATCTTCCAAATTTTACATCTAGGGACGGTGAACTTTAAGATCATTTATGTCGAGGGTAGACGTTTATTGCTGCATGAGGTACGTTTACTCCAGCTGCCCTTTTTCAAAAAAAACATTCCCTGACCTTAGAGATGTCAACCTTGATGGAATTGCCCAAAAAATAGGAGGAGGAGCAAAACATTCGGCATTCTCGTGACTCTCCCGCTATCCACTCCAGATAGGTTTCTTGCCTGTCCGTCTATCAAGCAGTGCATAAGAAAGGTGGAGCCGCATTGACAGACGTCAATGGAAGCAGAAATAAATGCATAGAGCCAGAATAAGTAGTCAACGGGGGAATGGAGGTAATTAATGCATGCAAAGCACCCGGAAGTAAAATTCCTGGAAAAGTAGCACCCATTCAGATGCCTCTCGATGAGTTACATGGATAAGTCCTCCCCACCCTCTGGTCCTGGCTAATTGCTAGTCACCCGATAATTATGGGTTTAAACAACGGACCAAAGACTTACGGGGCATTCCTGAGTAGTGTGGTTGTTGCTGCCTCTGCTGATGCGGATGTCCAGGAGGTTGAGACTGGTCAATCCAATCAATATCTACAGGAGCTAGATGGGCGCTAGAGTAGGAGGCGGGACGTGAACCTGCTGGAAGGGAGGCCTGCTGCGTTTTCGGCGGCTCGGAAAACCGATACGCGTCGGTAGACCGGTCCTCCTGTTGACGGTAACAACTACTGTGGTGATGGTGGTAGAACTCCCTGGATTGACTAACTGACCAGAACTGGAAAATTCCGAGGAAGGAGAAAAAAAAGACGGGTTAATATAACCTCTACGAAACGCCATTTGGTTCTCGACCAAAGGGTCTTAACACGTCGACATAACATCCACCCAGGAGGCACGAGACCGGTTGCACGTGCGTACGTGAACGTGAACGCGGAGAGATGCAAAAGGGGAGCAGTGTGTTGACGCAGATGGGGGATGTTTATTGAAGGACTGCAACACACCAGTCAACCAATCAGAAGACCGCCTTACGCGTAACCCTCGTTCTGTATGTGTAAACACCGAACTACGCACCACGTGCTAGTGTTGCTTCAATGGAAGATCAGATGCCTACGACTATCAATCTAACCTCCTCCTTTTCCATTTTGAAGCGACTAATTCCTGGAAATGTCGATGATGAGATCGCCTCGTCTACGATGATTGGGGAAAGGTCAAACTTGAAACTTGTTCCCGAATTCTCCGGTAATAAAGTAGACGTCTGCGGACAAGGAGTTGGAACAACAGTGAACATGACCACTATGAATAAAGTATAAGAAAACGCTAGATGCTAGCAATTCATCTGGTCGATTTCAAGATATCAAAGGCATGAAGTACCTTGGACGCATGCCTGAAGCCTACATCACAGCCACAGCCCCGGAGCTTTGAGATGCGTAAAAGTGCAACATAAAGAAGTTAAGAGGTTGTAGTGTAGGCTCTAACCTTAGCATCACCGCCACCCTCACTACGAGCCAAAAGGAGGTTGTCAAAGCAGAAGACACGCGCAAGGTGTTCAATGGGAGAGGCGGAGGAGATGGCAGTGGTGGCGGAGACAGGGAAAGCAGTGGGGGCAATAGTGGATTTGAGGAGAGCAAGATCGGTGGGCTTTTGAGCCACTCGCAGGGTCACCGTATCGAAAACGGTCGTCTCGCCAGTTCCCACAGCTTCCGACAGCGCGTCCTCAGGCACCTTTCTGAAAAAAAAAAGAGTAGAGAAGAAACGGTTTTTATATCAAGAAACAAAATTAAAAACGCATACACACATATGGGGATGAAGGGGCGTCACGGTTATCGCCTCTACCCCGACCTCTTCTAGCGTGCTAAAGTGCAGTGTGCCCCGTTTGGACGCCTTTTTTTCTCTCCCCAATTCGTGATGTGAAAGTCAGGTAGTCTACCAAATTTCAACGGCTCTAGGGCAATCCATTCGTCTAATTGCGACTAGAATTGGGAGGTTATCCAGTCAGAAATGTATTGGATTGAATTTTAAGTATTCTTTCAGACGAAAAGAATACAAAGGTTGTGCCAAGCACGGAAATATGAAGGATTCGAGACTGTCTGTCTGGCTTAAGCTGTTATCCCTCTATACCAGACCCTTTTCTGAGGTTTGGATAGGTGCAACACTAACTCAGAAGGGTTCAGCTTTGCTAGTCAACTTCAAGGTCGGCGTCTAAACGACAGCGAATAAGTCTAGAGAGAATCCATCAGCTTCAAGGAGTACTAATGATTTGACAAAGCAGTGAGCTCACCCGAGGATGCAATGGTAACTGAGAAGCAACAAGTTCTCAAACGATGAGGTAGGCGAGAAGACATTAGTAGACTCAGTGGTGATAGAGACCATAGTTTTGTCGTCAAGGCTACCGTCACTGCCGCCCTGATTTCGCAGGAAGGGTAGACTGATAGTGCGGAAGTAGAAGACATCGTCCAAGCCGCCCCAACGAGCGCGATACAGCGGCGAGAGGACGAAACGACGTAGCAGCGCCCCCTCAGTGGCCGAGTCAGCTATGTCCGGACTCAAGCGACTAGTGGTGGAGACTACTTGTTGTTGTGGCTGCGATGCACCACCCCCTGAACTCACTCGCCGGCGTCGCCGTTGCCCTCTGCTTCCACCATTACTGCTGCCTCCGCCGTTGCCATTCTCGGTAGTCGTCAGAGGCGGCGGTGGAGATTGACTTGCTGCGAGTCGGACCGCGCGCCACCGGTCTGCTTCCGCAAATGCTGCAGAGACAAACACTCACATACAGAACGCGAAGAAATGACACTTCCCTCGTCTTCGTAGCCGAGTGGAACCCAAATCGAACCCTAAATCATGGCTAGTTTTAAAGCACCAAGTATACTTTAGTGGCCTAGGCATAAGAGTAGCCACTAGGAACGTCAAAGACAAGGCTCAGAAAGGGGGAAGGAGCCGTATAATTAAACGACACTTGTTTTAAGGATGTAGTTAACTACATCCCCGCAAGTTTTGGTCACCGCCACATTGGTTCCGTTAACAGCCCGCGGGCGGATCTACGCCATCTTCAAGGACGCAGCAGACCTTCAAGAAATCCAGATTTTCGCGAAGGCAAAACTTCCGATTGGTAAACCAATTTTGAGCCGAAAAAATACCGCCATCATGATAAGAAATGAAGAGAACACTTCCTTTACACCCTATTTCTTCCTTTCTTCTTTCACTATAAATTTGAATTCTGAGTGCGAAATTGACTTTGCTATGTGAATGACCCGGCTCCGCCAAAAAATATCCCCTTTCAATCTCTTGAAGCTGTGCATGGGTGAACTAAAAGCGAACACAGAGCTTCCAACCTCTGAAATAGACATTCAAATTCCGCTCCCACGCGATCACTAGATTAGACGAGGAGTAGTCCGGAAAAAAAGGTGTTCAAAACACACAGTTCGTTCGCCTTATTTAGATGGCCGGCTGCCCACCCGTCCGAGAGAGTACACAAATCCAGAAACAGAAAATTCTGCAACAGGGGAAAGATAGGCAGCAGCTTGAGCATTCGAAAGTGGGAATGAGAACCTGGCAAGGTGTCCGACAGATTTTTTCTTCCTCAGGTCTACGCGACCCTCCTCCGCCTTCTAGCTTCCCTTTCCGCCTTTTTTCACGGCTGAAAGGGGTGAGAACAGAGCCAAACCCCATGACTGCAAACAGGAACGTGAGGCGATGCACTTAGACTTCGAGCCACACACAAGAGGGCGAAAAGGGGAGATTTTTCAATGGAAAAGTGGGAGTAATTGATACCATGTAATTCTAAGCTTCTAGGGCAAATTATGTCAGCTAATGATTAACCTACCGGAAGTAGCGATAACGAGAATAGCTCCTCTCCGATGAGAGAATACGATTGTCGAATATGATGATAATGACGGGGTCAGTTAAGGGGAAGGAAGTGAGCCAGAATGAAGAGGAAAAAAATTTAACCAGAAAACATCTCGCTTTAACGAGAAAGTAGAACACATGGATACCTCAATGTATTTACGTCATTCAAAGCTCAAGAAAGGGAAATAGGTGGTCAAATCAAATCGAATTCAAGAGGAGCTAGGAGATTCGGTACCCCAAACTTTTTAGACAGTACTAAATAGCCTTTGCCAACAGAAAGAAATTCTAAACGGCAGGATGAAAAAAACAGTTCTTCCAAAACCAGTCAAGTGAACCAAAGAGAAAAATGTGCGTATTATCCGACAGCATGAGGGAGAGAGGTCAAACCTGATTTGCCATTTACGACCACGAACTAACCGACAAAACAAATTTACATACATAGGTGAAATAAAGCTGCCCTTTGTAAAAGGCAGACAGAGCCACCATTGGGGGGAAATGGGGGCAAGGGGCGGAGGCAGGGAGCAAAGCACTTGTCCATCGCACTCCTTCCTACACCCCACACAACTCCCTCAGAATTAAAATAGAAAGAGGAAGAAGAGAGCTCAGGGAGGTTTCTAAACAATAGCAATTCATAATCATCAAAAGATGGCACATTGTAGTCGCACCTACCCCATCGCTCTCCTCGTGACAGCCCGCTCCACTCTCTCGTGAATAGCGTAATGATTGACTGACCGATTAGTTCCTTCAAAGAAAGCCATTTATTAGTCGTTAGGAGCTCAAAATTTTAAAGTAATTCGCATTGAATACAGTTGCCGTTCAAACTTCAAAGTTGCAATTAGGTGGTGATAATGATGAGGGGTTGTGCGGACAATAAATCTCACCAATCTAAGGCCAGAACGAAGTGAAACTAGTTGCAGCCTAACACAGGTCTGCTAATGACGGCGGCATTACCACCAGCCGGCCGTCCCCAATACCAGTACGACAAAAACAAAATGGGAGGAGGCAAGCAGCAACTGCATCGGCACTTAAATAAGCATACACCTGCCGAGTTTTACCCTGCCTTAGCATATCACGAGAGAAGAAAAAAGCGCCTCGAATGTCCACACTCCTGTTCACCTATCTATCAAACTTAATCACACAGGAAAGCTGAGATAACTGCATCCTCCAATTCTCCGTTTCCAGGAGGCGGTGCACCCCCCCCGCGTCCCCATCCTCGGGGCTTTCTGTCCTCCCTCTACCCCGAACGAGTCGAGGTGCTCATTATAGCATGAATAATTGACCTGCTAACATCGTAATGAGTAAAACGTAAAGAAGGGCGGTTTATAACATACATTAGGGGGTACAACTAACGTATGATGCGAATGAGCGATTAATTAACAGCCAAAAATGCGTGATAAAGGGACAGCAGCACTGCACAGGCCTGTCCTGCCCTGCCCTGCCCTATACACTACACGGAGTGTAAACAAATCGTGTTGGCCTTCCATGTGATTGCAGCGAGAGGAAATACACACGCACACACCTTAGGCAGGCGTAAAAATCACGAAAGGAAGAAGAAAAGTGAGAGGCACATGGAGATGTAAATGTGGACTTGCCTTCAAGTAGATGCTGACTCCAGATATCCGCATCGGGAGGGTGGACAAAGTCGCCCCAGCGTACGTCGACGAAGTTCTTAATGCCCTCTCGCAAAGATGGGTTCTTGGGAAAGTGTCTAAATGAAGGAAACAGTAGCAGTAACAGGGGAGAGGGATTTCTGGAGTGGTCAAATTAAACTTTTACTTAATTTGACGTCACGAAAGCATGCTACCTTGGCGGTACTGGACGCAAAGTAAAGTGGCAAACGTGCCCTTCTACACACTAACAGCCGGTGCGCACATCACGGACCGCTCCAGACACCGTTAATCAAGATGGCAGGCAATGGTGGCCAGTGCGTACGTGCATGAAACGGGAGCTTGGTAATAAAATGAACTTTGCTGTGGACAAAAAACCTCAAAATCGTAGATTCCTAATCGTAAAGAGCCCACTAAACACAGTGCGATAATGTGATGGGAGATCCAAAAGTAGGGAGATTTCGGCCGTGGTCATTATCATCGACCTACGGCCCCGACAGTCATTTCGGTGAGCATTCAACAAGCGCGTGAAATGCCTGATCGGCAGATAACAAACCTGCCGTAAAATTGCGGGAACAGGGAACACAATCACCAACGCTGGATGCAAATTCACTGAGGCAGATTGACTGTTGCAAGATAGCTAAACTAAACTGTCAAGCCTTCCAGCATCCGAAAATGCGTGGCAGGTATACGATTGACCCTGGTAGCAGGGATGTTATGCGAAACCATAAAAGTCACAACTTGTCTCGAACGCCCACCGGACCAGCCTAGACCCTAGAGTGGTATAAACACGAATGCGCGTGGGGAAACGCAGCCTCCCTCTTTTACTCCGGTGTAACGTCGATGTGTACACGGAGGGCCATTAGTCACCTTGTGTGTACGTGTGACTCATAGGAAGTGAAAAAAAAATTTTGATGAGCAATCCCGGACGGATGGGTCGGATGAATGAACCACTGCACGCACGAGCTGTTGGAAGAGGCTAGGAGAGAGGGAGAAGGAGAAGCTGGTGCTCACATCTGCTGGATCAAAGGTTACGGGAATTGGGAATAACATGTGATCTACCCACACGGTGACAACTCCGTCAGAGAGATACTTTCAGAGGCACAAAGTGTGTGCTTGATGCTTGTATATGTAAAAGGCGTAAAGGGGGGCGACTGTGCAAGATTTGATTTGCTTTAATCCACGATTCGTCACCTTTTGCGTATGGAGTGAGTTGTTTTCGACAGATCGTGGTGACGGTAGCGGTAGGAGGTGATGGATAGCGCTTTTCATCAGCGCTAGAAACTCCTCCATTCAGTGCGAGAGGTGGATAAACAAACACAATCAGTGATAAACTTTTAGGCCGCTGTGTTGAATGAACTATACGGGAATAACTTCAATATAATGGATGTGAGAACTGTGCCCTACAGTGTGGAACTTAAACGTTTTGTTAGCAGTCGATTTGAAGTGGCAAGCTCAAAACAGCGGAAAATCGTACAAAGGGAGGAGGAGAGGGGGCAAGAGAAAGAGATAGTCTCGCGGGAAGACATGAAATTCCCCGAAACCAAACGTACCCGCAATACCGCGTAGAAAACTCGCAGGAGCCTTTTATGGGAATGCAGAGATCGAAATCACATAAATGAAAAGAAAGCGCTCAGTATACACACATCTACGTAGGCAGTACGTGTATACTTGGATAGATTTCGCCTACAGTGGTTAGAAGTTGCGTGTCAAGCTAATATTCACCAAGAAACGAGGATCTGCCGGCGTAAGAATGTAATGCTCCGGTTGTGGGATAACACCGAAACCCATATCTCGCTAAGTCATCTCGGCCTATGTTTTAATTCTCACTAAAAAAGGCCAAAAGCCCATCCACACGCACGCACACACACGAAATAAAAGGTGTGAAATGCATTGTACTCTATTTGAAATCACCAAGTGCCGTAAATAGCACAATCGTTGGACTTGATTACCACGCAGCACACATTACAGCAAGGAATAAGGACAATGATCTTGTTCAAATGGACCCAAAAAGGGTGAAGTCAAAAAAACAACGGACTCTTGAGGCTCCCCGCGATTCATCCTCCCAATCCTCGTGGCGGACTACAAATAACACTAGTGCCAAATACGTAAGGCTTAGGATCTAGTCCCGAAGGTTAATTTTGGTGCCAACTAGGCGCCGGGCTCAACAGCATTTGAACCCCGCGACGGCCAGTCAGAGCGCCCGGCATTGAACCTAGGGTTCAGTATGACATGATATTCGGGATCTTCCTAGCATGTCGTCCCCAGGATTAATTTCAAAGCTAAATAGGTACGCTGAATTCAATAGCATTTTGCCCCCGCTACAACCAATTAAATGGAGGTTCCAATCAGGGCGTCCGAAACTACATCCAAGATCACGTGACATGATATGAGGTCCAGAATCCTAAAAGAAACTTGGGTAATTTGATTAAGGTAAAGGATCATCATCAATATTTTAAACGTACGCACTGATTTACGACTGACATATCGGAGATGGCCTGGTCGAGTCATCGGCCAATGAAATGATAGCATTACTGCCGACTAGAAACAACAAGATGGGCGGCTCAAAGCAGCGGTAAACAAAGCCATTGGAGGTAGTCCGATTAATAAGCGCGCATGGTGGTTAAAATAATTCCGTCTGTTGTAGTAAACGATTTCAATCCTGTGGAGAAGGGCTTATGATTTCAGGCTAGCATTCTAACAATGATGAAGTCTTTGAAACGAGTCACAGAGCATGGTAGGGAAGCCGGATAAGAGATCAAAAGTGATCTTATCCACATTTGTTCGGTGTAACCCAAAGGTCGAATATTTACTGACAGTGGTCTGACTTGAGGCTAGTGTCATTCAGCACATTCTGAAGGGATTCGGTAGAAGGAGTACATTCGTGAGGCGTCCCCACTACTAATCAACTCTGAAGAACACACAAATCCCTACTTCTCTACTTCTAAAGATAAATGAAAGATCGTATAAATGAATGAAGAAGCAAGCAAACTCACGCCTCATGGTAGATGACACAGCCATTCCGATCAGTGATAGTGACGACGATGTTGACAAACCACGAGGGCTCCAGGGAAGCCACGGAGGCGGGATCCACATCGGGCGGAACTACAAGACGGAAAGATTTGCATCCCACCCCTTTTGTCGCCACTGCTGTCGCTGCCTCTCCTTCCGCCGCCTCCATTTCCTCGTAGGGATAGAGGAGGGTGGGCATTTGCTGAACCAGACGCAAAATCTCCTCATCGCCTGGTACTTGATCCTTCGCAGGCGGTTGGAAACGTGAGAGATCGTGGGAGCGAAGACAGGGAACTGGAGCAACAGCCTTTTCTGCCATCTAACTGCGCTGGTGAGGGATCAAGATTAGTAGGCCAATTTGCTCTTGCTGATCTACTTATAGACTTGTGTGGCCCGGATCAATCTAAAAAGAAGCCATAAACGGCGACATTCCTACTAAGACAATAACAAAGATGCTTTCCCTAAGGAAATTCGCTAGACAACTACTGCATTAGGACCTACGCGCGTAAATTAAAAAGTAAACAGTCAAAATAGGTGCATACAAACTCAGTCTTAAACGGTAAACGGCCGGTAACATGAGATTCAGAAAAGCACAAAAGGCAGAAAGAGATCTTAGTAGTAGATGAGGAGTCAAATAACAAATGGATATAGACTTAAACTACCGAATTTATAGTGAAACGGGAAAAGTTTGTGCATGTGTATAAACACCCACTCGGAGGCGTATGCGAAGCCATGACCATAAAATCATAACTCGATGAATCAGTCACCAACATCCGTAAGACAAAGTCATTTCCGATTTAAAGACTATCTAGACTCCCTAAGACATCAAAGTGATCTAGAAACAAATTTGAGTAACCTCCCCGTCTTATTTACGCCGCGACGGCCCCATGAGCGATTCGACCAATGGGGAGGGAAAGGAATGGGCAAGGATGTGGGGGTTCAAAAGCGCGTAAACAGGTGGATGGAGTGGCATCGCGTGCGATCAGGAAAGGGGGCAGGCCGAGACTGAGGGAGTTGTGAGCGATAATGAGAAGATAAAAAGATGGGGTATGATGAGAAGAAAGTGGCAAACTTCACCTCCTAAGGCTACCAAAATTTTCGCCAATTCTCACAGGAAGAGAAATGCAGAGAAGTAAAACTAAGTGTGCGGATAATGACTTGTTCCATTTACCGGAAACAATATTTGAAATGCATGATGCAGTGAAATGATAAATAGGGACCAAATGAGGCGAGTGATCAGAGGGTTTGGATAAATCAACACAATTCAAGGTGTATTGAGAGGAGGAATGTTAAGTAATGCACAAACCAACTTCATTATAGATGCAAGGTCAGAAGCCTAAGTTATTTGAGACCTGTTTTGGGAACATAAGACGAAAAAGGTTTGATTACGAAACGTAAATAACTGATTTCGTGGCGATTGACTGAAACACAAAGACAGTACGCCCTGGACGGTTTAGCTAACCCTGGAACAGATACACATAAAAAACAAGCATGCAAATCCGGGTGTTCGTCCAGTCTTATGGCTACGACCAAATACGCTGATTCAAGGAAAAACGAGACCAACGACTAGTATCCAGCTTGGACCAACTATGTTTGGGGATGCGCTTAGGACAAGTTGAACTAAATAACAGTTGAGATTTCAAAGGGGACAATCGCATTTGAAATTTATTGAATTGATGAGAAAAACCACACCAAAAAATCCCGAGTAGCTCACTTTTGCAATAAAGTTGTGCATAGTGACAAATTAACTGCACCGCCTTTTTGCAAAGAAAGCGATTTACAGGATTTTATTCACTCCATAATCAATTAAAGTAAAACAAGCTGATTAAATTTCGATCCACATGGCAATAAAGCGCCCCGAAATTATTTAATTAGATCGCAGAGTATTGTTGAAATGGCGCATGCTTCCTATTAAATTAGGATGAATAAGCAAGAATAATCGATGGAAAATAAGGAAGCACATTTAAAAAATGTGCGCGAAATAACAGTGACACAGTGAAACGCAAAGAGCTCCCATATTAAATAGAAATGAGAAAGTTAGCCAGGTTTGTATGAGCAACAATAAGCTACAGAGCGACCAAATACGACAGTAGGTGAGTAAAATGGGGAGGGTGTTAAGAAGTGGGAGAATTTCCATTGAAGTAAGCAAAAGTTTAAAACTTCAAACCGGGTAAAATACATTAAGACGTTGCAGATCCAACGGTTAGCAATTCACAAAAAATTAAAAGGGATGGTACTCACAAGGCGCCTATAAAAGATCTCCAACTCGATAGAAAATACACATTCCGACGAGGCAGTCAACCCTGTCATTCAACTTACACCAAAATATCGAATTTAGTTCAGGCGGATAAGGAAAAGCTTACGACAAAATCACGCAGTAACAACATTTCTTGACTAAAAAACATGTGACGAATGTACTTCCCATAAAGTTAAAGAGTTTCGGAGAAAAACCCATAAGGAATCGCAGCATTAGTGCCGCAAAAGAATCGAGATAAATCGCGCCAAAGATTAGAACGCTAAGCAATCATTAGAAAATGGATAGAAGTCCGCAAATTGTAAAGTGTCAAAAGAGTTAAAACAAACCAGTCTTAAAAGAGTTCGTAGGGAGAAGTGTCAACACAACAATTTTAGTATATCTTTGCACGCTAAAGTATGCCGTCCAACATGCTACAAAGTGAGTGACAAAATAAGTGAGGGTTAAACTCACGACTAGAATTCCAACGTACACAACAAAGACACAAACGACCATTCCTCGAATAGACTCCGCGTCAAAGGTGACCTTAAAAAATGAAGTGCTTAAAACATTAACATTTTTCACGGGTTATTGAGTAGCAGCCCAGACAGGCACCTTCTACAACAATATATAAATCAAAAAATTAAGAAATATAACAAATGAGTGAAAATTACTAAACTTATCAAAACCAAGATTTTTATGATCTTATAAATGGTTGAAGCCACACATGCTCTGCATGATGCATGTTCTGAATCTGCAGATACCATGTGGATTAGAATATCAAAAGTGAAATTCATACTACAAATTCAAAAGGCTCAATTGAGGCTACCTCTCCTCCACAGCTGTGATTGGGTGCAAGCGAAGATCTATTATTGCGATCCTGGTGATTTGCACAGCGGTGTGCATGTCCGCAAGGGTAATTCAGTTCCGTCGGTTGAACTTTGCACCGTGATACGGCTTTTCGTCCATTTTAGGGGCCTTACAGCTCCTTTGGGCATTATTTTTTTTGCAGTTTTCACCGTGTTTATTTAATTCTCGGTTTAGGCAGATGGCCACTTTGTGTCTTCGGGGTTGTGTTTTCGCTGTGTGAGCTGACCTCTAGGCCATGTTAGTAGCCCTAAACCTACTTGTATGTTGAAGTGATACACTGCGCCCTAGAACTGTGCCATTTTCAGGGAAGTCTTGAGGCACTATATGTGCCGTTACCTTATCGTCGATGTGCAAAAGACCTGAGATCCACCACCCTAAGTGGTTTGTAATCTTCACCATCTGAAGAGCCCGTATAATTCAACATTGTGATTTGCATATATTAGGTCACTGCAACAGTTCCTGCGCAAGCATTTGGACAACACTACTGCTCAAACTTAGCGGAGTTAAATCACCTTCAAGCGTAAAGTATGAAATTCTGAGTGGTATTTTAATTGACAACAAAATGAGGAACACGCGATGCCCACTGAGTAAATAAGAACAACGGGCCTACCAACGCTAGCGCCGTAATCCGCTGCCTTCTCTGGCTTTTACTGGTGGCGGAGCCCACACTTGCTGGTGGACTGTGGTTTGTTCGCAATGCAGATGCCGCAAACGTTACGGATACTCTACAACAGAGACGACGGCTAATCGTAACCGTCACACCAAGAAACGGCTCAGTGCTCCACGGGTGCTGCGATGTGACAGCCCACGCCGAAAAATAAATAAACCTGCTCTCCTGCCCCCCCACACACCCTACTCCCGCGACTAGCCCCAGCGCCTAAGCACGTGCACCACCTGGCCCCTCAACTGACAGTGCAACCGAAATCCGTCAGCGTGGCTACTTAAATGGCAGGAATCATTGCTCGCCAAGCCTCCACCCTTATACACCAATTGGTAGCCGCATGCATCACCTTCTTCAGGCATTTGCCCCCTCAGTGGGTAGAACGACGGGGCATGAATCATCCAAACTTAACCCGCTGAAAGGACAAATCATGACTCGGTCAGACTGGCCAACATCTCGATTTTCATGTCAAAAATCCAACCTGAGTGACGGAATTCGCGTCAATTTTTACACGCAGTGAGCTACTGCGTCCACTAGCAGGACTCCGCTCGAGTAAGTCCAAAACGGCACGGGCGGATAGTATTCACGATATTTGAGGATGGGTGAATGGGGTGTGTGAAAGGGAGTAGCAACAACTCCAACGAGACGATGCATCGCTATAATAATAGAGGACAAACTGCAAACAATGAATGAATGGGGGACCACTCTGCTAGACAGTACTGCAATGACAGTATATGTACACGGAGGCGAAAGACCATAGAGTCGCAAGATTCAACTACGAGGGCCGAAGCATTCGGGACTGTTGAGCAGCAAACAACAAGGCGACCGCGTGTTGTTGTTGCTGCTGCTGACTCTGCACCTGCTGTTGCTGGTAGAGCGCGGCTGCCGCGAGTTGCTGTTGCACAGCGGACGAGAGGCTGTTGGGTGACGTGGCCGGCTGTGGAGCTGTCGCGGGTTGCTGCTGTTGCTGTTGTGCGGCCACAGCCGCCGCCTGGAGGGCAAGCAGCTGCTGACGCTGCTGTTGCTGTTGTGTCAAAGCCATCCCGGTGGCCTAAAACGGAGGAGGTGGTAATAATGGCATCCCCAATTCTGCGAAAGTCCAAACCTAGCAGTTCCTAACGGTAGGTGATGGAGGGAGGTGGGAAAATCCGAGCGTTACGCATATGTGATGCCTTCAGTTAGTAACAAGGTCGGAGTAAAGCCTCTACCACCCCACCGGTTAGCTGCACAAAAGAGAGGGGACTAAGACCTCCGACCTTAACACTCAGCAAGGGGTTTGGAGAAGCGGACAAAGCAGTTGAGGACAAGCAGGTGGATACATCATCAACGTCGCGCTCCCACCCAGATTGCCGAAATGAAGGCTCACAAACACGCTTCCAAAACACCTTATTCTAGCAGTAAAATTAAATTAGCAAGAGGGAGAAATGCACACACTAAAAAGCATTTTATACCTCCGTACCGACTCTAAAATGAATGCGCGTTTTTTCCCACGAGTGAGTCACTCAGATGAACCTGGATTCACAATACCCTCCTTTCATTCCCGACACGCTCGTGAACACGGAGGCAAGAGAGGACAGCCTAGCGAGGGCCAAAATTGGCCCCAGTGCCCTACGAGTGAATGGAAGCTGTCAATTCTGCATACAACGGATTTGCAAGACAGGAGAATCCAAATGTGGGCGGGAGCACTGGTGCATCATAACAGACACCCAGCAGTGCCGAAAAGTTCCACTACCTCAAAATTTGCAGGTTGAAAATGAAATGACTGCAATGAAATTGGAAAGTAATGGCAAAATTACACCAGCAGTCATTCAAAGCAAAATTGGCATCCCATTAAGTTTTATCGTGAATTAATGGGCATACGGGGAGAAACGTGGGTGGCAAAAATCCGAGCAAATATATGGGGGACCTCTGCCCTCCTTCCACTCCTCTTCAAAAAAAAGGATTCCTGACCCACTTCGATAGAGGTGGACCTTTGTACAAAAAACGCAATTCCAAGGAAAGACGCGAAATTCTTGACGAGTGAAGAAGGATTAATAGCAATGCAATGTATTTCAATCATTGTGCATGCAAATTACTAGCGGGAAGCACAACTACATGTTAATTTATTCGAATCCAATAAAGCAGTGACCTCTGGAATTGTAGGCGATTTTGAGAGAACAAAAGATTAGCGGTCGAAAAGGAGTTGGAAATTACCGAACAATAACAACAACATATCACATCGGGAGGCACCACGTTTACATCAACAGGCTGGTGAACCGAACCTACCCCGCCAGCCCATCCCACTCCACGCGACTCCCGCGCCTAATTTGAGAGCCGGCATGGCCAACTGGCAACCGTCAGTGTGACTACCGAAACGACAGAAATCAACGATCATCAAGAGTGTACCATCATGCCCTGCTGGACCATCGCACACACCAAACCTGCAAGGCATTTGCCCCCCCCTCCTTCCATCCCAGTGGGTGGAAAGACGAGGCACGAATCACCCGCTTTTGCCCACATGTTGATCTATCGAAAGGATAGTCTACACCTAAAGCGAATGCATCGACGGCCTGAGAAAATGTAACTATTTTTAGGAGGAAAAAACAACACCCTAGGTAGATTGGAAACGACTTAACGACAACAGAACACAGCATGAGGTATCACGGTCACGTCAGGTTGTAGAAGTGGGGTTTCTTCCTCCATGGACCGAAATCACCTCAACATGGAGTCGAAATGGAACGTTTCCCTGTCTGTGAACTGCGAGTACAACTTGGAAGAGAGTTGCGGAAGTAACGCCTTATTCGCAAAAGAATTGAAGAAATTAATGTGAGGACACAACCAGAGTGAAGTTTTGACCTCAAATTTTACAACCGACCTCAGTTGTCACGAGCAGCCTAAAACTCCCGCAACACGAACCCACACCGCGTTGAGCGCCTTCGACTGCAGGTACGAACGCGTCGCCTACGTTGGCGATGCCACAGCGCAGAGTAAGCTTCCAGTACTTGAGCTCTGGCTCGTATATTACCACTAAGGCAATAGCAGATGCAAGATGTTCCATCTTGAAGCTAAAAAGCCGTTTTTGTGGGCAGGAACCACCTCTCTTTAATGCATCTTCGTAACCTTCACCCGATTACCACCCAATCGTTCTAAGGGACTTACAGGGCCTAGCAACGAAACATTGCACAAAGTTCAAAGTTCTCGCACCTAACAAAAGTACAACAATCACGTGAATGCCTTGCCTTTTTCATCAACCGAGATCGCTCCCGCATCCACTCAAAAGCCAGACAAATCGCTCAAGACCGCCTCTTTGACTATGACTACACACCAAGTAAAAATAATAGACGACCGGACACACCCTTAAACTGTCACTACGTGAAAGCTTTCAAAAGGCATTTAAAGTACACACTGGCTAGTAAAGATGAAACGAACCCGAGGTTTACTAAGGCCATCTGCGCAAATTTCTGGCGAGCGGTTTACGTGAACTTTTGACTCTTCTCGGAGTGGTCGCGCATTTGCAAACAGTCCTACAAAGACCTTTTACAAATGCAAACTTTTTTGTCACTAAAAATGTTCCCGTAACCGATCTAAGTGTCCACATGGTCAAGCAAAAGCTCGCTAGTCCTTCAAAATGAAACAATATAAAGTTGGTGGAAGCAGCGTGGGAATACTGACTAACACCGTTAACGCGGAGAATCGCAATAACTCACACTAGCGGAAACCATAGCGGCCGCATTGATCTGTTTCTGAAGCTGCTCTTGTTGGAATGCTTGATTTCTCTGTGCCGCAGCCATAGCAGCAAGCATCGTGGGAGACTGCGAATTGGTGGCATCAGAGCCAGTAGGCGGTTCAGACGCTGATAGAGCACCGTTTGTCGAGTTGGTGTTGGCTACTGCTGCTGCAGTCGTCGTTACGGGAACACTGGCGGGGGGAGCAGCAGCAGCTGCGGCAGCGTTGGATGGCGCCACGGCGGGTGTAGCAGAGGACGCGGCCACCGCGGTGGCATAAGCTGCTGCCTGTTGCTGCACCTTCATTTGCAAGAGCATTTGGATCTGCTGTTGCTGCTGTTGTTGAGCCGCAGCAGCCAGCGCCTTTACGTGCAGCAAGGGGGGAGGGGAAGAAGGGAGAAAAAGAACTGTTAGGGGTTTCCCGGCGAAATGACAGACGAGAAAGTGGTAGTGAGAAAGAGGATTGCAATTACGGGTATATTGCCTAGACGCACACACAGGCACAAAAGAAAGAGATAGGACGTAAATCTGAGAAGCCAAATATGGGTAATCATGCGCTTGCATTCTTCCATAACTTACCGTCGCCCTAGGAAACAATAGTAGCAATAATCTCTTAACTTGCAGTGGTTAGCGGGTGAGAAGAAAGTGACTTTTACCGCAGGGGAATGGGGTTGGGGAGAGGTGCAAACGGTTTTACCAAGACCGATGTCGAGGCGCGGGGAGGGGAGAGAGGCATCACTAACAAATATGAACAAATACATATCTAATTTAAAAAATGAGAACGCGTGGGAATGAGAGGGGGGGGGGGGTAATCAACACATACCAAAAAGGGGAGAGGACAAACTAAGCAGTTACCTGCAAACTTCAACGAGTGGATATGTGAGGCTGAAAGGCTACAAGTGCGAAAGGAGAGTGAATTTTGGATCAAAATACGCGATGACGTTTAAAAACCACAAAGCTAGTTACACGAATTGTGTGACGTGTACAGACATACACACACACAACACAAAGGCGAGTTTAAAGACCTCCAGTAAAAGCGTATTCTACTCATTTAGGGATGGCGCAACTTATCATGCGGTGCTGGATGAGTAAAAAAGTTGTTAGAAAATGCCAAACCTGCATTCATTCATTCCTTCATTCGGGCAAAATCAAAGCGTCGAGGTGTACGTGTGGGAATGAATTAGAGGGGAAGGGGGGAGGGGAATTAGAGGGCAACACCACTGGCTTACGTATATACTACACTACCCTAGCGAGCTGCAACTCCTTTTTTGATGAAAAAACTCTAGAACTTTGCAGGAGGTAGGTGTTACGACGCCTGAGAGAAATTTTAAATGGGGGAGGGAAATTGGATGAAATACAGGGGCTAAATAATGCACCAGAGCTTACCAAACCGCAGTAGTTCGGTTCTAGGAGACACACACAGAGAGAGCGAGTAAGGATTAAGAAGTGAAAGGATAGTGGAATTTACGCGTGTGAGAGAGGGGAGTTCCGAACAAGTGCTGGGAAATGATAAATGACAAGGCGATTAAGGCAACGCCGCACGAGCCTTCATGCCGCACACACCAACTAACTGTGAGCAATACAACCCGCATTTGAGAGAAGCACATGCAACAACAAAATGGCGATGGCAATGCAGACAGAGCATTTCACCTCACTTTCTGTTGGTGCACTTCTAACCCAAGTGATGGGAATCAAGTCCACGCCTTGGACAGATAAAAGTACTGTTTTATCTACACTCATCTACTTGTTGCGTTGCCTGCGATAGTGGTTGCAACGGCAAAAAGAAGAATGAGCTCCGACATCATTAGACAAACAAAGCCGGGGGGTGTGCAAGCACGCAAGGTTCAAAATAAACATGAACTGTGGAGGACAAGGGAGGCAGGGGGACCGAAAATAAACAAAAGGGGGGTCAGAGGGGGAGGGGAAAGACTGGGTGGAGGGTTGCATTAGGGATGCAGGGGTTACGGCGGATAGTAGGAGGGAGCGCATGCTCAGGGAACGCACATATAGGAGGAGCAAACGCTTTTGGCAGTTGGTGTCATCTAGACGTTAGAGATTATGTAAACAAGAAAGAGAGAAGAGGACGATAATAATCACACCGGTACAAAAAATGTAAACATCCAACTCAAATCTAATGCTCATTTAGGCTGGTAAATACTACTTAATAGATAGTATCAAACCGTCCTAGGCATATTGCTATGGGGAGTAAGTCGGAGAAGCACACCTGTTGCTGTCTTTGTTGAAGAATCGTTTGAATAACAGCCTGTTGTTGTTGCTGCTGCGCCGCGATCATGGCAGCGGCGGCGGCAGCACCGGTGCTGTCAGCATGGGAAGCAGCAGCGGCAGCAGCTGCTTGATGCTGCTGTGCAGCAAGGAGTAGAGCTGCTTGTTGAGCTGATTGTACCTGGTGCTGCTGAACTTGTTGTTGCTGCGCTGCTATAATGGCGCTATGTTGATGTTGTTGCAGAGCAAGCATTTGCAAGGCCTGGGTGAACAAAAAACAACACTGCTAAGGCAACGATCCCAGTCAGAAGACACGCTACAAGGAGTTGGGAGAGGGTTAAAGGGGAGCCAACAAGAGGCACAAGAGGCGTTTTGGTGAAGCGCACAGGAATGAATGAGTAGTGGTGAGAGTGCAGTATCAGGAAGATTCAAGAAGGCGCTTTTGATCTAACCTGCATTCCTCAAAGCAGTGCTCATCTACTAAGTGAATTTCGCCACCAGGCACTCACCCACGAAAGACGACTTGTATGCGAAGCATAATCACTACAGAATACCGTCCCCAGGTGAATCTTTTCAAAGCAACTTTCCAATAGACTTCGTCAAAATCTACCAATCGCACCAGGGTAATCAGATTTGGAAATCATGCCGCCGCCACCATGGTATTCTTTCTCAAGAGCTGACCACGCCTATTGCAGGAAGTTCTGCCTACACCACATATGCTACCAGCATAGAGACTCGTATGCGCTCTACAACTTTGAAGATGACTCGGTAGACGCACTAGGACTAGTGATCACCTAAACTTTGACTGAGGGATGGCTACTTTACCTTCGTAAAAGCAACGCGGTGCGTAGTAAAGCACATTGAAAGACTTCTTTATCAGCTTGATTAAAAAAGGTAACTTATCTTTTAAAAATCTAATTTACCCACAAAATAAATACCCTAATGCCTGAACTTGGGGGAAATTTATACCTGCTGTTGCTGCTGCAAGGCAGTGGCAGCCTCAACTTGCTGATGTTGCCTAATAATGTTCTCCAAGGCTAACGCTTGATCCATAGCTCCGGACAGGAGACAGATTTGTTGTCTCTGCCTCAACTGATCAATCACAGAGAAGTGGCCGACCGTGGCAGGTAGCATGGCGACCGACGCCGTAGTGGCGGGCTGGACAGCAGCCGCAGAGGCTACAGCAGCCGCCGCGGCAGCAAGCTGCTGCTGCTGGCTCGCCTGGAGCTGCATTTGCTGACGTACATGCTCTTTGGCCTGTTCTTGCAGAGCTGCATACAAAAAATACTTATTAAGGCGAATGGTAATAAAACCCACACTAAGCCACACGCACACGCAGACCACCAAGAAAACATTTAATTGCAAAGTTAGGCAAGTATACCTTTGTACTGATCATCCTTTTCGGGTGGAGTCATAAAATCTGCCTTGATCTCCTCCTGCTTCTTTGTGCCCTCACTAACTGCCCTCTCGGATTTCCTTTTGGCACCAACATGAGCCTTCCAGTTGTTGCTATTAGCATTATTGCTGGCGTTATTGTTATTGTTAGGCGGTGCAGTGGGATTGGTCGACTTTAAAGGCGGCGAAGAGTCCACACTCAAGCCCAGCTTTTTGGCCATGTCTGGGGGCACCTGAAATGAGTAAGTAAATTTAGTTCTCAGCGAGTCTCAAACCAAGAAACTAAATGTCAAACTTCTCAAAAGCCCACCTGCGGACCGATGTAGTTAGAATCAGGTTCTTTTGTGGCCTCTACCTCCTCTTCATTGCTCTCCTCCTTGACTTCTGGTTCCTCCGTTTTCGGAAGTGCTGGTGGTGTAGAAGGTGGACTAGGTTCTGTCCGTCCAGTTATCTTTCGAACAGCTGCACTAGCTGCCGCTGCAACCGCTTCCGAGGGTTTGTGGCCACGAATGAAACTGCCCTTGTTTCCTAGTGGTCGAGAGAGGCGAGTTTCTGCGGGACTAACCACGCCAGCTGCCGTGACACCACCGGAGTTGCGTTGATTCACAGTCCGACGACACACCGGAGGAGGCGGAGTTCGAGAAGCATCTCGTGAGTTTGGCGTGCGAGATCGCTCCGAAGAGGTATAGCGGCCGCGCCGGCTGTGGGAGGAGTAGGATCGATATGAAGATCTCCTTCGGTAGGAGCCGCTGCTACGTGAATACCTCCGCCTTCTACTTCCACGTCCTCTACTCGACGAACGGGAGTAAGAGCTTCGAGAGTAAGAGGAGGGAGTAGAGGACCGACGATGACGACGACGACCATGTCGTCGACGACGTCGACTACGTCTACGACGGGAGTAAGATCTAGAGGAACTGCGACTACTGCTACTGACTGAAGACGAAGTGGAGTAGGACCTCCGTCGAGAAGAATAGGACCGAGAGGAATAGCTTCGTCGGCGTGACGAACAGGAAGAGGAAGACGCACTGCCAGAGGAGGCGGTGCGAGAGCGCCCACGCGAATGGGAACGCTTACGTGAGACACTGCTATCCTTCTGCGTTTTCTCCACCCCACAATTACTTTCAGGTGTTTTAGCGGACTTTTGAACGGCGGAAGGTGGGGTTGACGGTTTGGCAATTGTCTCCTCAAAATCGCTGTCACTGGAGTCCCAAGTTGACTTAGCCGTGCCTTTCGTCACCTTGGTAACAGGCGCGGGTGCAGCAGCGCATGGGGAGGAAGCAGAAGCTAGGTTTTTTTTGCGTTCGCTGTGCACAACAGGTGAGGACGCGGCGTGGGCACGAGGAAGAGTGGCTGGAGAAGTGCGTTTAGGTGGGTGTGACTCATCACCCCCATCAGAACTGTAAGCAGCCACCAGTGTGTCCGATATCGGAGACTTTGTGATCTTTCTTTTACGATCTTTTCGGGCTACTGCCTTGTCTTCTTTTCCATCGTCATCCTCCTCCTCCTCATTTGATTTTCTATCCAAGCGTTTTTTGCTACTCCTTTTACGTTCCTTATCCCTTCTTTTCTTCTTACGAGAACGACGCTGGTCCTTTGGAGAACTTTGGACGTTAGTTACAACAGTATCATCTATTTTTAAGGAACAACCCTCGTGTTAGATGAAGCAATGCTTTAGCACCTTAAAATGTACCAAGTATACCTCTTTCGTCACCTAACTTATCCTTCTTGCTGTAAACAACATCCCCAGTCTTTTCGATCTTCGCATCTTTAGAATTCGTAGGGCTCTTACGAGGTCGTTTTGGACTGGGCGTAGCTTGTTTTGCAAACGGCCTTTTCGACAAACGCTCCAAAATTGGAGATTTCTCAAACACCGATGGTGGTTCCTGCAGGGCCGCTGTACTCCGCTTTATCGGAAACGAAAGAGACGCGTCTTTTGACGTCCTTGAAAAAACAACAAACAGAAGGCCATTTAGAAGGAATGTTGCCGAATTTAATGACGATACAAATATAACAACGCAAACGTGCTTTTTAGCAAAAAATGAACAGGTGTACAAGTAACACAGGTTGAGTATGGGCATGCTGGCTAATCAAAGCAGTCAGTTTAACCTGCACATACCTTGCCCAAAGTATAACACTCCATCAGTATCTGTTTAATCAAGTTCATATAAAAGCTTGGAATGAAAAATATGTACATCAATCAACTCTAACCTCCGACAATGTCACACTTGCTTTGACTCACAAATATTGCTCCCAAAAGGAAACTCACTCGTGATTGATAGTGTGAAGAGATCCACGCGATGAAACGCTCTAACAGCAGAAACAAATATTAACTTCTTGTCAGATCAAGGGGAAAGTGGGACCGCAAAATCGAAACTCACATGATCAGAATTCCCGTCGGATTTAGGCGCTAAAATAAAGGGGAATGCGTGTTAAACAAACGCTGTTTGAATAGTAGGCATGGAAAACGAAGATTTCAAATCACAATATGGCACGGGTTAGAGAGAGGAATGCGAAAGAGCAGGGGATTGTGACACAGGAGAGTTAAAAAAAAAATGCGGAAGTACTCGAGACCGAATAAAAAGGCGTGCCAATGGCTCGGGGGAACAGCCAAACTCAGCGATTTACCACCATCGGCTTACGCACAGCGCACATATCTAGTCAGGAGAAGGGATCAACAATTAACCAGGTAACGTCTAATACACGAATACATGCCGGAGTAGGGAGCTCAGAAGTCACATATTTGTAAATACGCTAGGGGCAATAGTGGAAATGTAGGAAGCTGTGTACGGGTGAAGAGTCAAAACATACCCCAATGGCAGGACATAAGCTAAAACTTAAACTTTCATTTAAGGCATTGGCACAAAATTGAGAAAAAAATGGTGTTAATTTTTTAGGAAAAAAACACACGATCCACTTCTGGAAAAACAGAAGACATCTACTTTAAAAAACACGAATCATAAAACTTTGTTTGATTCGAACACCCAAAGCAGCCAGCTTACCAATACTACAATCAAGCTAGTTATGAATAAACAAACAAATGATTAGCATTTACGGCATTTTTAGCTTAAAATGCCACTATAACTACTTAGCAAGAGTAGCCTCATAGCTTTGCAGTTTAACGTTGACGATAAATTAGAGATCTACTGATCATTCTTGCAGGTAATATATGTCTAGCACCAAGGTTAGGCAACCCGCAACAAAGTATACAGGAAATGCAATCATAGAAATCAGCACTTCAAGCCCAAACAGCATGAATCCCCGTAGAAAGAACGGAAGCAATTAGTCAGTTCTTACGGCCAAAATCATTGAGCATTTATAATCTTCAATCAGAAACAGCAATCAATGAAAAACGCTGGGATGAATGTTAAAAAGTCCCGTTAAGTGGCTTCATAACATTGCGCGCATTTTAGTTAAACGAAAGAAAGCGTCCTATCATATATATTTAAAATACAAAGTACGGCAAGCCACAATAAACACCAATACATTTGGCAGTGCAAAAACTACATAAAAGCATGCAAAAGGCATTCCAACTGGCATTACGTGAGGCTTATATCTGAAAGTCATAGAAAGTTAAACACTGAAGAAGCTCGTTTATTCGGTACACACTTATGGTAGCGCCGATTTCGCGAGCGCGACTTACTCTTCGCAGACCCCGAGGGGCCAGAACGTTCAGTACTCATTCAGAGTTCAAGATGTCGTCGGTACAGGGGAAATGTTAAAAGTGTTGCAAGTCACCATTATTTAAACAATTCAACTAAAGGAGATATAGTAACAAGTTTACAAACCATTTTCTAATAGAGATTTGCATTGCGAAAAATGTTTACAGAGGTAAATTTAAAATAAGGCTCAGTAACATTAGAAATTAAAATCGCGTAGAGTAATAAAGGAAAGTTGGTTTTCGAAATGAAAAGACACCAGTGCCACGGTAAGCATATTTTTCACCCTATGCGCAGGTGAATGGTAAATCCGCCAGGCGAATCTCACTCGCATTAAAGTATTCAATTAGGTGAAGTAATGTATGAAATGGATATATTTTTCAAGCAACTAAATGCAGTGCTTTTACTAAAGTCATTTGAGGTCACTCTTCTTTAAGGCAATATAGTGTAAAACACTTTTATAAGTTTTTCGACTAGGAATTCTTTTGGCAAGAAACTTCTGATGTGCATTCATTCTTAAATTGAAGAAAACCGTGTTAGGATTTATCAAGGTTTTTGTTTCTGACCTGTTTGCATTGTGCTGCATTTGATTGGCTATTGCGATGTTAGAATAATCTCTACCCTCACGATTTATGTCGACGTGGGCTATTTCGTCTATTTCCGTCCCCTTTTGCGGTGTTGTCACGACAGCTTATAGCTTTAACTCAGGTCATACATAACTTAGCACGTGCTTAGTTTATTTAATTAGGTTGAATAAGTTACATCGAACTTTCGTCTGGTTTTTTCTTCATTTGATATTTAGAGTAACACTTGGGTGTGTTGCACGTTATATATGGGCTAAAGTTTCTCTTATTATTATTGTTTGGCTGTGAGTGTGCTTCCGCGGTTTTTAGTCCGGTACTTGTTCTCTTGCAGGGAGTGTGTTTAACAAAACTGACTTTCTCTCTGTCAAACGCATACTTTCTACTATTCTGCTGCAATGAAAAAGCCAGCTAAGAAACGCTGTAAGTTGTTTTCAATTATATTTTGCTTTTCGTAGCCCGGAGACAAGGCATCAAGAAAACGCGAATGAAGCAGGAAGCCAAACACAAAAAACCCGAGCCCATTAAACCCATCCTCTACACACGACGTTTGAAATCACGAAAGCAAAAGAAGATCAAACAGATTGCTCCGCCCCTTTGTAGCAATGCACTGTAGGTTTTGCAACCAGATTCTTAGTCCCATCATGAGAGACCCCAAATTTGATGATGATCCTTTTGATGATGATGAACAGAAGGCTCCCTCGAGTTTTCGTGATATGATGAGGCGTATAAATGACATTAAAGGCCATCGAAATCCATATCGATACAGCTCAAGTACTGTTGGTTTTGGATCCGCTTTAATTAAATTGCATTAACAGACGAGGGTGATACAAAGGGCATGCGTTCGGAACCACCGGATATTATTCCCAAACAGGGCGAGAAGGAGACAGCCGAAAGCTACGCGCGGCGCTTGAACCGTTGTGTACAGGACGAGTTAGTGAAGATAACTGTAGCGAAAAAGGATAAGGTATGCGATCCTCCTCCTTGACTGGTCTCCATATTAGGCTCCTCTTGTCGATCCCGAAACACATAAGTCTACAAAGACCAGGAAGGCACTCAAGTAAGTCATATTTTGGTGAACTTAGCTTTTTCTTTGTTTACGTCATAGGGAATGAGGAAAAAACAGCTCTTTCTTTATCTTTATTTAGGCGCCTGGCGGCAAAGAAGGAGATGAAGAAGGTGTTTAGAATAGAGAAGAATCTAACCGGTTTTGAGCACCTTAAGGACAGTGTGAAGTTTGGTGAAGTGGTCCAAGGTCCACCGGTGTTGAAAACGAAGCCGAAGAAGGTTGGAGGCGGTTCCACGTCGAATGACCTCACGCTAACCGTCGGTCGTCGAGTCCGCCCTACCTAGAGATTTGTCAAGTGTTGAAGCAGCTGTAAGTAGAGCAGTGTCGATTTGTTGTAACACAGCCATCGCGCCTTTATCCAGTGACATTTCATTTTGGTGTCATTTGATTACACTTGCCGGGAAGTTTTAGGAAACCTTCTGTTAAAAGAGGGTACACTTGACTTGAATTATTGACTTATCAGTAGGTGAAAGACGAGTACGTCGAGAGAACATCATACTCGAGGGTGCGAATGGTGGCGTGTTTGCATAATGCCATGTGTGATACGCTATTTGTTATGATCACATTCCACTGAATGCCTTTTTTCCTTTTCACTTTCTAGGAAGATGGCTGCGTCAGGAGTATGACCCCTTAATCTGTACAAATAATTACTGTAAAGTACTTAAGAAACTATTAAATTATGGTATCAGGCTTTTAGCCGTTCTTTTTAAAGATGTGATTGTCATTTATTTTGGGTGGGAATTCATGTTTCGTGTTTATGCAACATGCCTTGGTCGCAAATGGGAGAGGCAGAAACGCTCTAAATCGTCGGCTTTACTGCAATACCACGCGTTTCATTCATTTGAAGGCGTTGACATTAAATGGTTAAAAGTTACGCCCATTTGAAGTGCAAATGCGGTGAATGAATACAGCGAGCTCCGGGTATTCTGAATTCACCACCTCGGTAGACAGATGACTGCCTGTGTCGAAATTTGCAATGTTAATAAGAGAATTTTAGGATTTCATGAATTCCTCATTTTACGGGTAAGTGGTATCAGCAGTACCGTTTGCGGAAGGCCCCTTGCACGCAGGTTTCGTATTTACTCGCCTGGGTAAAGTGGTGAGCGTTTATGTCAGCTTGAAGAGGCATTAGGTTCACACGTCACTGTGGCATTAAAAGTTGACTTGGGAAGTACAAGTAGCCGTGCACATCAAATAAACTTGGTTTTTTTACGGTGAGGTTCTCAGGACTTATAAAGGCGTTGCTGTTGTTCAAGCCATATCTTCACAGGGAGAAATGCAAGTGTGGAGGCAGCCTCACGCCTGGAGGAAGGTAGAGATGGGCATTGCTTGCAGATGTGGCTCTTGATTTCATTTTCCACCTGGAAACCAGACCTATCCCCTGTCAGGTCTTTTTGCACACCACCATCGGTGATCATAACAACAATTGTCTCATCCAGGGTCGTCATGTTCATGCTATAATTTATTTAACATTTTTCGTTGTACCGACGTTTTGGATTCGTACAACGATGCGTGATTGCATAACTCGCTGGTAGAAGAGTCCTACAAGTTGGTGAATTTGAAATATTCGGGCTTGGTGGGGCCCAAATCTTTGTCATTGAGGACTAGTTTCGGGGTTATTCGGTACATTCGAGCCTTTAAAATCCAAATTTCAGCATATTTTGAACCACAACAATTGATAAACAACCGTCGACCTTTGATAGATACGGTAGATTATTCTCTTCAAACGCAGCATTCAGAGTCTCTTGGAAGCGTAAGAAGTCAGAGAGGCATTGCGGAAGACATGCTACTGGCTTAGGGAGGCTGCAATGCGGAGACTTAAATGGCCCCGAGTTAAACAAGGGCATTGCATAACCCCTCTTCCCTGTTGAGCGTCGTCCCCGGCACTTCCCTTGACCAACCAACCGCCTTGGATTCGCGTGCAGCTGAGAGGATATTTTGATACCAACGTCACTTATGCATCTCGGCACTGGATGCTTCATCCTGTTTGGGGATTGCATCGGGGAAGAGGGGAATGCGCCGTCATACTTCTGAGAATTGGATGATGCTCTACAACGAAGTCATCTCGTATCCCCATCGCTGGTCGTGAGAGCACTGGCTTAAGAGCGGAGTCACTTGATGCAAGGTGGTGTTTGAAAGAGCATCATGGAGGTAGGGTTTCGCATTCCTTCCTCTTTGCCACTGTTCTCACTTCACTGCGGTCTAGCTATCTCTCCATCTGGGTTCTATCCAGCCAGGAAAAAGGTGGCGGAGGTGTCTCGTGTTCCCTTCACTGACATCTTCATACAGCTACGGTAGGCAAGTCAGCGAGATGCTTTTCAAGATGATTCGAGGCTAGTGTTGCTTCAGTTGTTAGCAGCCTTCCTGCAGACAACGTGACTGGGGTTGTTGTCGAAGGCGGAGGTCATTTCTATCCCCTTCTGTTAAACATCTTCACAGACTTGTGCATCAGCGGCAGATCCTCCCCTCCCCCTTTCAGTACTTCAGAATCAGGCTCACTTGCCGCTGCCACGAATGCAGCGCACCGAGTCTTGCCTGCAAATGGCAAGTAGTAGTAAACCCCGGAATGTGTTTCATTCAAGTGGGGCCAAGTCCTGCCCTTTACTTGACCGTTCGAGAGGTCCCCTGCCAACTCTCACCTTTTCCTTTTTTTCAGATTAATTTGGCTCCTGACTCGAGATTTCTTAGGTGGCGGCGATGATTCACTTACATACCACATGGTAGTCGCCCGCATGGAGGGACCTGGAGTAACATAAATTTTGTCTAATGTCCGATGATGGAGTCGTGAGGGGGCGTCTAGACAACAAATTACTTCCTCGATGATCCCTTCACTTCCCACCCATCAGCCTTCAGATGGCTGCTAATGACATGAGGCGTCGGGTCTGTCGCTGGTGATGCCTTGTCCTTCTCCTCTTCTCTACATCAATACGTAGTTTTCTTGCGTATTAGCTTGGGTTATAGCTACTTTAGGGTAGGTCTAGGTGGAATGAGAGAGACCTCGCTTGATGTGTGCAGTAGGCGCACCTGGTCTAGGAGAAAAAGGCATCCCCAATCACGCTAGACTGCTAATTGAGCGAGATCAAGTTCCAGGTAGTCCCAACCGATCCCAAGTAGGTGCCTCCTCCACCGCACTGAGGGGGAAAAACTATCTCAGCCCTCCCAATGTTGCTTTTGAGCCGGTTCCACTGAAAAAAGCGAGTGGCCTATGAAATCCGGATGCTGCAAAGTGCAGCCTAGCTTACGAATCCTCTCCAGGCACAGTTTGTCATGCAGAAGGTGCGACAGCTTGAGACACTACCACTAGTAAGTAGCTCAACATGCCATCTTGAATTCTGTCTCGCAGTTCACAGCATTTCAGAGGAGGACCCATGATGACCAAGGAAAAGCAGCCCCTAGATCAGTGATGAGCTCTAATAACACATTCTAAACCACTCCCAGACGTGTAACCCGTCCGAAGGTGGCTTAGAGGGTGAAAATCCCCTATTAGCTTTTTTAGGCACCTCAGGATTGCAGCTTTAAAGCTTCCGACACCCGTAGACCGTGAGGGGGGCTAGCACTGGTTTCACCCGAATCCCCTTGTGAAACTCACTCCCGCCTTAGAGTCAGTGAGTCAGCCAACCTTCAGGGAGAACAAACTGGAAAATTGCCAAATGAGGGACAAAAAAACTAAAAAACAACCACACAAACATGCTTCCAACAGCTCTTCAAAGAAGCACAACCAGCCCCACCGAAACAGACTACCAGTGCAAGGTAAAAGAGAATCTGACACACAAATTAAGGCATTTAAATGAGAGTTCACGACTGCATTACATATGCGGGTACTTAAAATCTAACACGACAAGAAAGGAGAGATAGAGAGGGCAAGGGAAAAGAAACGAGAAAACCAAGCTCTCCCCACCCCCTCCACCTTGCTCTCCTCCCAACTACTATCGAGTGGGTGGGGGGGAGGAAGGGTATGAAAAGATGACACAAGGGACGGAACATTAACATTGCACATCTGCCGCAAGATACAGATGCCGCCTTAGGAGAAATAGTGAAGAGGATAAATGGGTGGCCGAAGAAACGCGGCCAGTCAAAATGCATAAAAAAGGCGGAGGATAAGAGGAGACGGGGTGATTCGATGAGATTTTGCGTCCACGGGTCCACATCTCAAGTGTGACGATGTGGACCGGGGGAGTAGGGGTGGGGTGGTGGAGGAGGATTCGTGGCGGTGATGGTGGAGGAGGCGGAGGAAGAGGAGGGTGCGTGTGCTTCGTGGCCAACAGTCTGTGAAGAACCAGCAGCGTCACCGGCAGCGGTGGTTGCAGAAGCAACGGAAGCGAGATTGGTGACAGCTGCAGACCTGTTAGCTATCTGCGGTGAGCGAGGGTGGATGATTCGGATCTGACGCAGATTAGACAGGTTTGGAATCGCCCCGGCAGCTGCAGCAGCCGCCTCCTCGTTAAAAAAGCCATCATCATTCTCTCCCATTCCCGTTTCGTCGTCTTGATTGTTCGCTGAGCCGGTATCCGTATGAGTGAAGTCCCAAATGAGGATGGAGTCGTCGTGAGACGAGGAGACAATCTGGAAGTCGTCGAACTGCAGACGAAACACACGACCCGTGTGCTCGTGAAGGGTCTTGATGCACAGTTGGTTCGTGCGAGATCGCGGATTCAGCGCCGCCTTGAAGTCCCAAATCTTTATTTTGCTGGAAAAAAATGACAACCAAAGTGAGCCCAAATCAGCACCTCGCACGAGTTTAGGGGCGGATGCGTAACTGTAAAGTATCCAGTCCGCTCTGGACGTCCAAATACAGTTACGACCACGCAAAACGGCCATGTAGCCGTAGGACGGATTTGCAAAAGCATTTTTTTGGGCAAATAGGTAGGAATGACATCACAGAGGAGGGGATGCGATCTGATGTCTTAAAGTGCTCGTTTGCTTTCCATGGGGCAAGCGTAAACAATACAGGAATAATTTAAGCTGACTCAGATGAAGCTCGCCAAAAGCTCCGCCAACTCGGATGATAGGATACAGTGAAGCTGGAAATGGCCCAAGTGACCAAGCTGAAACATTGGTTAACACCTTCAAGGGAGGCTTAGTGGGAAGGCAGACCCAAGGGATCATTGGCAGGGACTCCGAGAGCCTCAGAAGGTGAACCACCTGATGAAGCAATGTTTAGTCGAAAAGCTAAGGCAATAATCAACGCACTCCTACTCCACAGGACGGGTGAGGAGTATCGCAACAAGGCAGCAGCATGCAGTAGACACGTGAAATAGGTGGTCGGATGCGGACCTGTAGGCCTGGGGAGGGAACACTGATCATAAGCATCCTAGCAGAATGTTGTAGACGAGGTGTCACTGTCGGTGTGGATGAAATTATCCAAATATGACACGCCAACCAAGCACGATAGAGCAACCGATCCGGGAACGACTGGAGCCAAGTGGTGGTGCTTGAAATTTTTGGATCTATCCTACTACCATAAGAGCGCCCTACATCATCGATACCGGCTGTTTGAAGGGGAGACGGAAATAAAGTCCTGTAAGGCCTCATCAACATCAATCCGAACGCACATGCGCTGATTGAGGGTCAAAAACAGTCAGTAGAGGTGCCTAAGACTAGCGACTGTCCTTGTACGACTGAACAAGCAAGAACACCCACCAGCAGGAGCAAGGAGGATCTGATCGGTACCTGAGCGACGACTGGCCGTCTATAGTTCATGTCGGTGGTTTATCGGGTCCAAGGGTTCGATAAGCAGGCTACCATCTCCTCGCACACCACTTAGGCTTCGCAACACCATAGTTGTACCTCAGAGAGGCAATGTCGGCAGGACACGACATTAATCCCCTCATAGACGGTCCATGTGTTGCATAAGTGTGATTTGCAAGGGGGGGAATATGAGAAAGGGAGTACCATGCAAATGTGGTGGCGGTAATGGTAATCTCACCCTGAAGCGCTCAGACTTAACGCAAGACACGAAGTGTAGGAACTGTTAAACGCTCTAAATCACAATATCGTTGGAGAGGGTGGGGGGGG